GAGCTAATCCGCAACCTGCTTTTTATCTGATCGAGGTTACTAGACAATCCAATTTTACAGTCGATCTGATTGATCAACTGTGGCCAGTTCGGTGTCTATGTGAGGCCAGTTTATTCGTGGTTCATCATCGTCGCCAGCATCCTTTGCGTGTTTTGTCATTCATCCTCTTCAACTTGATCGTCTTCGTCAGTGTTAGCATATGCTGCTTCTTTATCCTCTACGTCAGAAGAATTACCATAGTCGTCATTCGCATCGTGCAGTGATTTACCCACGGTGTGTTTCATTACGTCAGCACCTTCATATTCATAGTCTTTAGTAACCTCATATTTTCTCGTGCTTCTTTGCACCATCAATGTCACCTGTGCCTCAATCGTCGCTATCATCACACATAATGTGCGATGAATCGCACATCATAAAAACTAACTTTCCACGAAAACAACGCCAATCACTAATTAACAGCTTAACCTTTCTATACAAACTTTGTAACGCAAATGAACCACCGACGACAAAAATTTAACAATACACTAATTTTTCTAAACGCAACAATGGATTATTAATGAAATGGAGAATAACGATAAATTATCACCATTTATTTCGCATTAGTGATGCCCCTAATATACCTATTTATTCAATTCGTCTAATTGTCTTTGTACCCTATCTATATGGCGACGTTTCATCTTCTGTATCTACATCAAGTCCATGTCGGCGTCAGCATCCTCCTCGTTGCCATTCACCATGTCCGTCTTCTGTATTCTCTGCAATATGTCGGAGAAGGTATTGCCACCAAAAATCTTCTCTCTATTTATCCACCTCATCATCGTATCCGTGTAGGTTTTCTCATCAGCAACATTCATCACGCTCTTCTTCCCTGTCTTTCTCTTCAACAGCACATCTCAGCGCATCATTCTGGCTGTGGCTGAATTCACAGCTAACAGGCACACGAGCACAAGAAATATACACAGAAGGAACGACTTCATCCTGGAATGGTGATCTGTTAGGCCACCACCATCCGCTTTTACATCCCAACAGCTTATGCGTTCATTCGTTGGCTTCGTGTCACACTGTACCGCCTAGGTCGATGTCAACCAGAGGGTCTTGTGATTTCTACGCGGCTTGCGCTGAGTTCGTAGTGAGGCACCTCTCGCCAAACAAGGTGATCTTAAAGTGCACTGCTCACTCACACTACACTAGACTTTGAAACCCTCAATTTTTCTGCAACCACGCCTCCTCACTTCACGCAAATGCCTTCATCTTTGTTTCACTTGCGTCCAGGTGTCATGGCTGCCATATCTTGACAATCGCAAAAAGGATGAAAGTGAGGTGGTGCCACCAGCGTGTTTGAATGGCTGAGCCACGTGATCCGCTGAAATCCCCACGAAACCTATTAGTGTTGTCTCACATCCGGACACATTTACACCCACTCAACCGCACTGAGGGACGTAAGAAGGGCGAATGAGTCACCTGCTTGATTGCCTGGTGGTGGGTGTGGGTGGGCGCTTATGCGTCCAGTTGCGAAATAGGCAATGGTAGCCCCTCCTGCATCAGGTTTTTCGGACATGCTCTTTTCAACGATTGTCTTGAAGCAGGACAAAGCGGTTTGTGAAATCGGTTCATCGTCTCCTCCGTTTTCGCTGCCCGGTCGGGTTTCTTGAAACACGAAATGCCTGTTCTCTTGAAGCAAAGACCAACGTGTTAAAATTATTGCATCAAATTTGCATAGAATGAAAGGGATATGGTTTCAAGTGAGGTCACCTGAACGAAAGTTCTGCCGTGTTTAGCTGATGAGAAGATGGTGAATGTCCTTGGGCACCCCGTATTTCCGAGATGACAATTTTGGCAATTGAGATTTTGATTGTCTTGAATTGGCATTATTACTGAAAATGTGTATTCCTGACCACCTCATTTCAGATAGATGCCTTCTAATATTTGCCTGCATCATGTGGAGAACATTCTCCTGCCCATGGATCTGGTTCATTCCATGCATGTTCGACAACACTGGACACTACCTGTCACACGTAGATCCAGGAATCAAGTGATATTGTTTGAGTAAACATTGAAACCTGCTCATGTAAATGGGTATCTCATTGCCACTTACTGAATACAATGAATCGTCCATCTTAAAAAGTCAACCTTCCATGAAAACATCGCCAAACGCTTATTCGCAACCACATCTTTCCATGCAGTCCCACTAACGCCAATTAACCACCAAGAGACAAAAGTTTGACAAAACACTAATTTATTCTAAACGTAGCAAGCCGTTATTAATGAAATGGAGAATAACGATGGATTAGCAGCTTTTAATTCAAAATCAGCAATGATCCCAATATAACTTCTTATTCAGTCCGTCGAATTCCTCCGGTAATTTGTGTTTACCGAGACGTCTCTTCTCCCGTCTCTACACCCTATTCCTGCTAGTCTTCTCTAATCTCCTCCTCGCCTCCCTTCTTACTTTGTCATGCATCATGCCCCTCTTCCAAGGAAATCTCTTCGTCATCTCCATGGAGTTGTCACCTTCATCGCCATCATCTATCATACTCTTCTTCCCTGGCATTCTCTTCAACAGCACATCTCTGCGCACCATTCTAGCCGTAGCTGAATTCACAGCTAACAGGCACATGACGGCGAGAAGTATACACAGAAGGCACGACTTCATCCTGGAATGGTGATCTGTCAGGCCACCACCATCCTCTTTTATACCCCAACAGCATATGCGTTCATTCGTTGGCTTCGTGTCACGCTGTACCACCAAGGTCAATATCAACCAGGGGGCCTTGTGATTTCTAAGCAGCTGGCACTCTCAGGTATCATCGAGGTGAGTTCGTAGTGATGTGCCGCTCGCCACACACGTTGACCTCAAAGTGCACACCTCATTCACAATGGCCTCATTCGTCAAAAGTTTAGAGGCACTCGATTTCGGCATTATTTCACGCCAACCGCACTTGAGCGAATTATTTGCGTTAGAGGTTTGAACATCGGCAAGTTGACTGTCATGATGTTCACGATCTTTCCAAGAACCCTAATCAACTTCCAACGCAGTCAGTTATGTTACGGTAGGATTGGTGCCTGACATAGCGTAGTATTTGCAAATAAATAGCCCCTGTACTCGTACTCCTGACAAAACCAACCACGCAGCTACTCCTAGCACGTAGAATTTACTGCAACCTGCCAAACGTCACAGTGAACTGCAGCTTGCACGATTTGAACCATGATGTTTAATCATCATGTTTCTAAGTAAGCTCATCTGATTGTAGTGAACAACTATCCTATTGCAGAAGTGTGACTGAGGCCTATGAATAGATTTTAACGCTGCGCACTTGAAAATGTCATTGGGATTTCAATACAGGGCTGAAATGACAAATGTTACTGTTGTTATTTGCTCACTAATTGTGGCATTTATGCGAAATTGGCATTCTCGTGTTGGTACTGCAAAATCTGAGGTCACCATTGGAGTGAAACACTAAAATTCAATTTAAAACGATTCAATGCTGTTAAGGTAAGGACTACCGCCTTGACGATGCTATGCTCTAAGAGGTAAATATACGAGGCAGAGAGTTTATCAGTGTCCCCAGAAAGATCTCCATCTTGCCATGTGACGCGCCCAGGAAAGGCATCAACTGGCCAACATCACGTGGCAGCAGGTGCACCCTAGTGATAAGGATGGGGGTTTCGTTTGTGGTTTGGTTCGCGTTTTCTGCGTTAACCAGTCGTGTACAGACGTACAATCTCTCACATCTCGGTGACACCTAGAAGCTGTCAGACCGTCTTGATTAAATTAGAAATGACCATCTACAAATGAGCAGTTTGTGCGATTGAAGTGTGAGGTCCTACATCTGGCTGCCACTAGACCCCAATTAATCTCCCTTTGTATGCACAAAACGGCGTGCAGATGTACTAGTGAGCAGCAACCACATGATTTACTTGCATCCCCGTATAGGTGATTCATTTTATCCACACACCTGACACTTCAAAGTTGCAGGCTTAAAACGAGCTTAGTTTGCAGGTGCTGAATATGCAGGGCAGGTGTGCATGTGTGTGTGGATGCAATAAACACATTGAAGTGGCTAAACGACAAAAAGGAAAATTGAATTCACAGATGTGGATCCAGACTAAACTGCCTCAGTTATAATACAAAAGTAAATGTACAGTCAGTTTGACTATTTTTCCACCGAAACCGACCACCTCTCGTGAACTTGGTTTTTATTTTGACGACGAAATTCCAAAGAACCTGTAGATATCTGCTTCGCTTGCAAGATATGAAACATCCTTGCAACTGGGCGGCTCTCTGGGTGATTGTAAATGCTTTTTGCCCTGAAACTGTCCTGGAACATACTTGGTAAGCACTATTTACTCAGGCGTTTTGCCACGTGAGTTACAACGTGAGCAAAGTTGTCATCTGTTTACCAGTCAGCTGATTCAATGTGAAGATTAAAAACCAGACATGGGGATTACCCAGACTACGTCGCCACAGTAATGACGCACAGGTAAATGCCAAGCCAGTTTGATTATTGTTTCATTTAAGTAGATAACCTACTGTAAAATTGGTTTTGAATTCGACGAGGAAATTCGCGATGATCTTGCAGACATCTGGTCTGCTTGCAAGATACAAACCCTCCATGCAACTAGGCGGCTCCCTGAATGATTGTGAATGCATTTTGTACCGAAACTGTCCCCTAGCATACATGGTAAGCACCGTTTACTCAGGCTTCTTGCTATGTGAGTTTCAATATGACCAAAGTTGTCATCTGTTTACCAGTCAGTTGTGTTGCAGTTGTAATGGTTTGGGTAGTCGCAGCGACAATCAATCACGTTGGTAGTAAAAACATCGCTGATGAACACTGCTGGAATATGCTTAGCACAGAGCCTTGATCAGCCGCATAGACTAGACACATTGATGTTAATTTATCAGCAAAAATCACTTCCACACGCAATTGCGAAGGCGAATTTCATGCTGAATTGTGTGCCTGTTATACAAGTTAATAATCAAGAGGTGCTGTGGACTGACAGATTTAAGGTGTGTCCTTCAAAAAAGTATACCTACGGAATTTTGAGACAGGTAATCATGTGAGGATCACCGGTTTTTTGAATCTGGTTAGTGCCCGTAGAAACTTTGAAGATGGTGAGAATCGTGGAAGCGAAATCATTTATCAACCCATCCACTACAGTTGGTATTGATTGCTAGACAAACTGTAATGTAGGGTGATTATTTAGCGCTAACCAAAGTTGGCACAGTAGATAGAAGTATAAACAACGTTATTTTGCTTCACTTGACTTTCACTGATTGCGTATTCACAGGGTCGTGTTCCACCTTAAATCATATTGAATAAATCACATTTTTTGTAAAATACTGATATTGCACAGATTGTATTGTGTTCTTCAACACCTGAGTGAGTGGCATGTGGTTTCGTGTTGTCATGGCGAAGATGGCGATGCCTCCTTGATTGCTAGTTTTGTTTGGAGTTCAACATCGATTTGGGCGACGTGGCAGGAGGTCGTAAATGTTGTGCATCGGTGATCCCCCTACCACGCATAAAAACTGCACTTTCAACCGTTTCCATTAATTATGCTTATTCACCTTCATGATGTTAGCCTCATCATCTCATGCCGTCGCTCTTCACGAACATTTATGATCTGGTCGAAGAAAGAGGCAAAACAGCAGACAGGAAAGGTGCTGTGGACTCGTCGATTTGAAGGTGTCCCAGTCAAATCAGTGAACCTACAGGATTTTTACTCAGGTAATCATGTGAGGAATACAACACAGGTAGGTCATTGTGTCTGTGTATCTGTAGTTGCTAGGGCCTTGGCACTACCTTATAACCCTCTAGTTAACAGACCGTAACTACCGGCGAAGAGGGAAGAGAAGAGGCGACAGAGAACACGACCGTTTAGTAGTATCACACCAGCCAAGTGGCATTGTGTACGTATGAGTACGCGCGCGTAACAGGCGAATGCTGACAGAAGCCAATAACACAAGGGGGTGAGTCATTGGTGCACTCGGGCCCTCATGCACGCACACTCACGCGGGATGGCTGTCGGTCCACTACAAATCTCAACAACTGATAATTGAGAGAGAGAGCAACGCAATGGTTAGCATATTTTGAAGTATACTACCGACAATTCATCAGGTGGAGCTATCTGCTGAATGGTCGACGCAGAACATCCCGTTCTCTACTGCCCCAATGCACGATCGCAGGACACGCTCGACGTCGTGTCGAAAGAGGTGCTTGGTAATCTATGAACGGTGGATGACAGACAACAGAGTACTCAACAACGAAGACAAACTGATTTTAAAACTCATCAAGTATTTGGATAATTACCGATTAATGGAGCAATAATGCAAGAATTATCCTCAGGCAAATGCTGGGTTGGCCAAAACACGTTTGACGTGGAGTCAAAGTCGGTTCGGATACTGTAAACAGCAATGGTTCGAGCATCATCAACGGCAGCCCATTATCTCATTGCTAAAGTCTTGCTGTTGTATCGTTTGCAAGTACTACTACCTCAACAGCCTACGAGATTATCAATTATGGTTGTTCGGATGAAATCGGGAAAGGATTGCGTTATGGTTTGCATGACAGAAATGAATAGTGAGCATCAATCTCGACTGCTGCTCTGATGTCCTTAATGATAATGCTGCCTTTTGTTGTTTGCATGACCAATAAGCATGGTGTTGTGGTAGCTTCAGTGCTGTCAGATCCGTCAATTGCACGAAAGCGTTGTTGCAAGTATAAATGTTTTAACATGTTTTCCGTGCAGGTTGATGCCTCGGAATACTTAATCAGCATGTTGTCCAAACTTTTGGATTGTAGCTACATTGTGGACTCCCCTAAGTAGCTTCTTGCTGATGACTTATAAGGTCCTGGCTCTCAATGGTCAAAGTGCTTGGTCAAAATGTTAACATATTTTGTGAAGTCAAATTACTTGTAGACCCTTTGAGGTCATGCGCATTTTCGCTAACGGACACCTACAGTGATGGAGGACCCACAAACCAGTGGGTGTCAACGAGATATTGGACGCATCCCGTCGAACGCGGATGCACCAAGTGATAGACGAGAACTGGAACGCGTCAAAGAATTGAGTGTTAAAAAACTTGTTCATATATGCATGCGCTGTAGCGCAACTGCCGCAACCATTACCACAGTTCCACTTTTAAACATTCAAATGACCTAGTCGAGTGTGTCGTGAATTCCACAATAAGTTAATCAAAATCTGCTTCCTCACCTTTTGCATGAATTACGATGACGGCAGTATTAACCATGGTAGAATCTGCAGGTGATGTTGTTATCATCCCTTGAATGAAATGGACACAGACAAGTGAAGCCGTCTGCAGAAATCTCATGCTTCTCCTCTGTTCCATTCACGAAATCATCAATATCGATAATATTTCAGGAGCAGTGTGAGAAATCCATTTCAGGAATCACATGACTTCAGCACCTATAGCTCTAGTGATACTCTTTTGTAAATAAGCACGTAATGGCCAATTAGACTTGCATTACGGCTACAACAGATCAAGCGACCAAGTGCATGCGGGAATGAAAGTGCGTAAGTGGCATAACTCGAGTGCCTCTCCACTCTGGACAATTGGTGCCACCGTGGACACGAAATGAACTGTGAGTTGGTGTGTTTTTGAGATGTGTTTCACCCGAAACACCACGATGGCAGTTGAGAG